AACAGATTTCTATGTTGCTGGTTTTTCCATCTGCCAGCGTGATCTTTAAAGCTTTTCTGTCGCTTTTTGTTCCACATTGTTCCAATATTTTTTTACCTTTTTGTCCTATAAACGAATTTTGGGCTCCTGTGTCTATTAGTGCTCTTAACTTTTTACCGTTGCTGAACGTTATCGTTGTGTGGGGTCGTTGATCTGTATAGTGTGCGTAGCTGGAGGTTGTTAGGGAGGACTCTAAATGCTGACTGGGTTGCCTCCTTCTTGTCCAGTCCTGTTGGAGTTTTCCGATCGGCTTCTACATTGGCAGTTATTGGAAGTTGTTCCTCGGGTTCCGCAGTGGCTGCAGAAGAGTACAGCGATAGCTCTGCAGTTTCTTCTGTTGTGGCCTCTGCGGCCGCATCTCCAACAACAAGTCTGTCTGTCGAAATTCTGTATTTTGTTATTACGACTATTTGTCTGTGTCCAGTCACACCTTGTATTGTTTCTGTTATATATTTCTTTTTGGACCATATCATATTCTTCCGCTAGTCTGATGATGTCCTGTGTTGACGATACGTCTTGCCTCTTTATATACAACTTGTATTTCGGGTTCATATTGGTGTATATCCTGTTTAGTTCTTCTTGGTGATTGAATTCACCATGTCTTCTGATCATTGTTTGAATATCAATGATGTAGTCTTTTACACCTTCGTTGTTTCGTTGGAGTCGGTTCCGGATTTGAGCTTCCAGAGATTGCGTGAGAACGGAGGAAACGAAGAAATTGCGGAAATCTTGTTCGAAGTCTTTTAATTCGTTCCAATATTTATTATTGTTTCTGTACCATAGTAATGCTTTCCCGTTTAATGTTTCTGGTAGAGCTTGTAAAACGTGGGTGTCTTGTAGGCCGTAAGCTGTCTGGAGTTCTTTCAACCGTTCTATGAATTCTATTGGGTCTCTTGAACCGTCAAAGTGTAACCCCCATTTGCGTACTATTTCCATCTTTCTTTGTCTGTCTTCCATCTGGTTTTCTTCTATTTCCTCTAGGTTTTGGCCTTTTTGAGTTGGTGCCTTGATGATCGCAACTAATCTCGCTCTTAGCTCGCTGAAATTCCCTTCCGTCGACTGTTCTCTGTTTGTTAATTCGGCTATAAGTTCGTCTTTCTTTAATAGGTACACCCAACTAACCTTCGACGTTTCCGGAGCGTCTGTCATTTTTGAACTGTGAATCACCCTGTATTTGAATAAAGTTTGAAATGCAGTACTGTCTCATGAAAATAAAATTCGGAATTCGGTCGGTATTATTGTTTAAAACGAATTTTTCTGCTCGGGCGCCATCTGTGACGTCCTCTCGTAGGAGTCACTATCCGGGTAGCTTTTGGACAGTCAGAGACAGAGTTCAAAATAAAAATAAAACTTTATTGTCTTCCTTAAATTAAATTGACAAAAATCTTATGTACATATTTACAATTTAGTTTAGTCTTCTCAGTACCTGGCCTATTTATTCAAATTAAGTTTGACCTTGTCGTATGAAATTAGTGTTATCGGCAATCAAGTGTGTTTTCGGAATTTTACGTGAACGATGTGTCGATTTAATAACAGCGGACGATAGGTACAAAGGAAAGAAAGAAACTCAACACGTCCCTCAAGTGATTCGGGTTAATAGGACACTCCTCGACAGTCTCAACACGACTGCTTCGGAGTACGGGTAATGGAGAGCTCAACACGCTCTCCGGCTGGCGGTATGGAACGGAAACAACTTGTGAACTCAACACGTCCACAAGCCGGGGTAGGGGAGAAGAGAACCTTCAGTCAACACCTGACGATTCTGCCTCTATGAGGAAATAATGCGGTTTATATAGCAAGGTTTTGCCCTTTCTACTGTCGATACACTCCTACTTCATGGGTTGGTTCGCGCGCACGCTGGTTTAACGGTGATGGCTTGGACTCATCGTTACAGTTTTTTTAATCTTGAATGGTAACTGGCATTGTCAGTTGATGATTATTACAGAATTGGTCGGTAAGAAATCTTATTATTTGTTTCACAAAAACATCAGCAGTCATTTCTTCATGGTAGTCGTTCATAGAATTTCAAATAAAATTTAACAAGCCTCCATCAACAAATCCTTTATCTTCTCCAATATATATAATTAGTAAACAAATCTTCAATAAATGCCTGACCACCAGTTATAACCAGTTTATCTTGCCTAACTTTTTTTTACAAAATGCCCTTGATTAATTCATGTTTCACCTAAATAAAAAAAATTGTTTGCTTTCTCTCCTCAATTTTCAAATTTCCTCCAACAAATAATTTCTTTCTCTATGAGCGCAGATTTACCATTATTATTCTCATAAACAATTCCTAATTCACGTAAAGTTTTCCTCAATTTATCTCTTTTATATATGTATATTATATATAGTCGATCAGATAGCCAAGCGGGCTGGGCCAGTTCAAATCCCCAGCTCGGTGTACAGAAAAACAAAAAGGCTAACGCAGCAGTTTAAAATCAGGAGCAGAATAACAAGTGACGGCAATCTAGTTCTAGCAAACATGAAACTTAAGTTAAAACAGTTAAAAATAACTGCCAAAACACCAAAGAATCAATCTGAGAAAACTAAAAGAAACTGAAATATACCAACAAATCAAAGAACAAGTGCACAAAGAATATTATCAAGTAGAAAGGCAATAGCAATTGACATCAACAGATAAATGTAGGAGAGCAGAGGAGATCTTGATAAATATCACAAAACAAAAACTTCAAGAAGACACATCATCTAAAAATAAACAATGGGTCACACAGGAGATAAAAGAACTGATGACGGAAAGAAGGGCACACAAGAATAAACACGAACAACAGTACAAAAAAATTAATAAAATAATCAAAGAGAAAATCAAGAAGCTAAGGAACTGTGGCTATCAGAAAAGTGTGAAGAAATAGAAAGGTTAGATAAACAACATGGCAGTTTTAACATACATCGGAAAATCAAAGAGACAGCTCGCATATGCAAGAAGAACGGTATAAGAGAGCTATTCGAAGATGACGAGAAAATTGAGGTCATTGAATCAAGAGGAAGAAATGGGCCACCAATCACCAAAGACGAAATTGAGAAAGCGCTAAAACGTATAAAAAATGAGAAGGCCATGGGACCAGATGAAATACCTACAGAAATCTTGAGAATATTAACAAAAAATCATATGGGTACACTAATATAATTATTTAATGACATTTATTATAAAAGAGAGATTCCAAAAGAATGGTTAATATCAATACTCATTCCAATACCCAAAAAATCAAACGCAATGAAGTGTGAAGAACATAGGACAATTAGCTTGGTGAACCATATATTAAAAGTGTTCTTACGGGTGATACACGAACGTATCTATAAAAAGATAGATGATAGAATATCTCAAAACCAATTGGGATTCAGAATGGTTAATATCAATACTCATTCCAATACCCAAAAAATCAAACGCAATGAAGTGTGAAGAACATAGGACAATTAGCTTGATGAACCATATATTAAAAGTGTTCTTACGGGTGATACACGAACGTATCTATAAAAAGGTAGATGATAGAATATCTCAAAACCAATTGGGATTCAGAATAGGCTTTGGAACCAGAGAAGCATTGTTTACTGTACAAACACTAATCAAACGATATTGTGATGTCAATTGCGACGTATTCATGTGTCTAGCCTACTTTGAAAAATCTTTCGACAAAGTACAACACCAAAGAATGACAATAATACTGCAGAACACATAATTAGATGACGAAGACGTGAGAATCATTGCCAATCTATACCGATATCAGCAAGCCATAATACGAATAGACCAACAAAAATCGGAAGAAATACCTACAAATCGTGGAGTAAGACAAGGATGTGTGCTTTTCCTTTTACTTTTTAATTGTATTCAAAAAAATTCTTTAAAGAGGCATTGGAAGATGTAGATAAAGGCATATTTATTAACGGAGCACTTCTGAATAATCTTAGATACGCAGATGACACAATGATCCTTGCGGACAGCAGAGAAGGACTACAGATCTTGGTTGATAGCATTATCCAATACTGCGAAAGGTATAAAATGGCACTGAATACAAATAAAACAAAAATCATGGTGGTAAACAAGAACAAGATTGAAGAAGACAGTGTTTATGCTAAAGGGAAACTTTTAGGCAGGGTGCACAGATGTAAGTACTTAGGTTGCGAAGAATGGGATAGAAGTACGGAAATAAAATGGCGTATTGAGATAGCTAGAAGTGCTTTTAATAAAATGAAAGCAATATTATGCCATGGAAAACTCAACATTGAAATTAGAACTAGAGTATTGAGATGCTACGTGTTCTCTGTCCTGTTGTATGGAGTTGAGGCCCTTTTCTCTGTCGCCCTTTACTAAGGTGACAGAGAAAAGACTCAATAACTTTGAAATGTGGTGTTATTGAAGAATGTGGAAAATATCTTGGACACAACACATAACAAATGCGAAAACACTATGAAGAATGAAAAAAGATAAAGAAATACTCAACACTACAAAAAAAAATGAGCTACGTTGGTCACATACTAAGAAACGAGAAATACCAATTGATGCAACTGGCCATACAAGGGAAGGTGGAAGCCAAAAAAAGAATCGGGGAGAAGACGCACGTCCTGGTTGAAAAATCTGAGACAATGTAGTGGGAAAACGTCAATAGAACTTTTTAGAACGGCTGCAGATAGAGTCAAATAAAATATATGGCCAATACTGCAACATTCCATTCTAAAACTGTTAAGGTATATTCTTGATAAGCTTATTACGTAAATAAAATTTAGTGTAAAGACTTTTACCATAAAATTTTTCGAATTGTTTTACTATTTTAATAATTTTGCTTACGACTGGGAATGAGTTGAATTGGTCAAACTTATTGACTATGGGTAACTTGAAAATATTTACTTTATAAACTGAGAGGCAACACTATGGTATTATGTAGAAAACCAATATGTTTAGTTGTGTTACTGTATAGTTATTTAATATAAAATGTATATTTTAGAAAACAGTTCAGTTTCAAATATCCCGAGAGAAAACCGTTACTATTAGCAGTCGAAAATGAATGTGGAATTTTAAAAATGGTCTGTACTACCTTACGTCCCACAATGTTACCACACCCTGAACTAGAAACTTGGGAGGGTTGTGCTAGTTTTATAGCAGATCATATAAGGTTTGAACCAAATGAAGATATGCCCACATTCTTACCGAGGCGATTGTATTCTCCACATACTACATTATTGAGACAAAGTGGCCAATCTTTTGAAATTGCAACCCTCCTTTGTTCTGCTTTAATCGGTAAGAATTATTTTTTACATTTATCTATCAATTATTAAATCAGTATTATTTTAATAGTTAACACTGTTACACAATTTGTCTACAGTGTGTTGTTATTTGAATCATCTATTATATTTTTAGCCTACTAAAAAACTAATCGTTTGGCAGATGGGTTCAGTTCCTCAGATAACAATGGGGACAGAAAAAAACCTAAGTTTTTAAAGTTTTTAAACCACGGCTGATTGATAATTTCGGATTAATTACTTTTTTTTTGTGTATTCTAGGTTTAAATTCTTTTCTGTTGTGGTTAACATTTTTATAAAATTTTCTCGCTTCGCTTTGTGAATTGAGCCTTTCTAGTTCCTCTAGCTGGTTTTCTAAATGTCGTTTTTCTTTTGATTTAGTATCTTTTTCTCCGCTTGTCTCATCTGTTTATACTCCTCTTGATTTTGTCTTGTCCTTCTGTTTTGGTGTTTCCCATACGCCTGATTCTTTTTTTGAGTTTTCTGTGCGCATTCCGCATCATACCATTCTGTCCCCTTCTTTTCTTGTTTCTTCTCTCCTAAAACTGTTGTTGCTACTTTCTTCAGGATATTTTCGTACTCATTCCAGTAATTATCCATGTTTTTAACAGTACTACTTATTTGGTCTTCTAGTTTTTCTTTAAGTTTGTGTTCAAATTTTTCAACTATCTCAGGGTTTCGTAGTCTGTTCACCTCGAATTTATCTTTTTTGTTTCCTTTACCTTTTTTTGCGTTAGAGATTCATGCCATTAGTTTAGCTTGATTTAGATCATATTATAACAATAAAAAATATAGAATGTAAAATATGTAAATAAATACTAAATACTTTCCCAAACAAAGGTATTTGGTTACAGATTTTGTTTCATTTAATTTGATACGCCATCGTTTGGTCCAGATGTTATTTATTTTATTTTTACAAATATACCCACGTCGACCACTAAGAGATATTATCGGGGGGACATGTAAATATAACATCAAAATACATCAGTTTGGTATCAATGTAGTTTAGCAATTTTAAGATAATTTAATCAAGGTGCTTAATTGGAAGTGAGCATATTTTTTTACATTGTCACTCAGGGTACAAGCAATACTTTCGTTCTTGTATACTAGACACTCGATATTTATATATTTCACTGATAATTGAGTATTGCACTGGGTACACATCGGAGCAACCTCCTTATTGAAAATATGTTTGTGCGTAAGTAGAGTCTGTCCTATTCGAAGTCGGTTGATTATCACTTGGTCTTTTCTATTCCTCGGTAAGATGAGTGTAGTTCCTACTTGACCAAGACATCCGCAGTGTAATCCAAAGTAGCCTGCTACGCTCTTGTATGTCACCTACCCTGTTTAGTTTGTGATCAGTTTAAGGTCTTTGATTTCTGATAGCAATATACTGGTCGGTTATTGCATTGCTTGCGGGGTCTCCACTTCCTTATTGCTACTTATTCCCATATGGAAAGATATCTAGATAATATATTTTGTTAAGCCTGCAGATAGGATAATTCTTCTCTGATTTTGGAAAGTATAGCGTGAATTGTATATAACTTCTTACTTTAAGTAATGGGCTTATTGAATCCGTAAAAACAACAAATTTGTTTTTATGGATAAAACTACATTTTTTCATGGGCTGGTCAATTTTTACCATTTTTTGGTAAGTTCACCGGTATATATAAAGAAATTTTTTGGAATTTCCACGGAGAACTTGATGTTTTCGCAGATATAAGCTGCAATATGTCCTTTATCACATGTTCCCAAACAGATCTATTTTTAGTAAGGTATTTATTAACATTTGTAAAATTAATTGCGTAAAAAATACTATACCAGATAAATTAAAAAAAAAAATTTGAAATTATTTTTAGGTGTAGGATATAACGCTTTTGTCGCATCAGGTTATGCCATTAAAGATGTAACTTTAAGGATTATGGTTCGTGTTGATTGTCCTTTTCCCCCTTTTAAAGAAGAAGAAGAGAAGCCGGAAGTTAAATTTGTCGAAGAAAAGTACAAACTAAAACCGCCTAGAGACCTCAGAAGTAAATTTCTCATGATGATGGAGAAGAGAGAAACGGATAAGCTGTTGGCACAACAAGCAAAGATCATAGAAGAAGAACAGTAAGTTACTAAGATTAGGTACCAACAACCTTTTATAAATATTATCTTATAAGCACTGAATACAAAAATATTTTAACAGTATTTAGAGATAGCCAATGGATAGATAGAAACTACTACAACCTAAAATAATACTCGGTATACACCCACTAACATGATTTTATACTAAGTGACATAGTCACACACATTATTAAATAATTTTTTTTTTAAATTATGTACAATTATATAGGGGAGTAAAAGAAACAATTATTAAAAATTTTAATATGATTAAAATAACTTAGATGGGTAAGTCAATTAATAAAATATTTTGATGCACCTCCGTGGGCAACATACTGTTGATTGACTTGACATTGTGATTTGTATAATAAATTGTATTAAGGTAATACCTAAGTACGACTCTGATCACTCTTGATTTCTATCGATAAGACCGGTAAGACAAAAACAAACCCGGATCGACTCCTGGAAGGTTTAGGCCAGAAGCAGGGTACCTTTCCGTATACATGAAAAGTTGGATATATCAACATTTCTATTTTTTGTGGAACTTTTTGCTGAATAAGAATATGTAGCTCCTCCATCTCAAAAAGTGTATCCATTTGGAGTTAACAGTTAGCCCTAGACTCCAACACAGATCAGAGGTAATGTAAGTCGATAAAACCTCACCAGCTACAGGGGGTCATATAAGATGCCCCCATTTTCATTTTTTATTAATACACAATTTAAGAGTCTATTGCATTTACCTTAATAAATACCATAAAGATTACTTTTTAAATCCGGATGTTCAAATGTACTAATATCATTTGAAAAAGTTTCTACAGTTTTTAGCATTTGATCTAAGTGATTTCGAGTGGAAGCAATTAGTTTCAAATCATCCATATACTACAGATGATTAAGCTTCGCCACTACAGTGTTGTTGTTTTTAATGCTAAAAACTGAGTCAGTGGAGTTCAAAAGCTAGGATAGTGGGTTCATTCCTAGATAGAACCACAAGGGACTCAGCGAGTCTCATTGAAATAGGCCGCGGTTAATTACGATATTTTTCGTTTTGATATTGTTTTCACCAGGTATTTGGAGGTGAATTTTAGTTTTCCAATCTATCATTATATGTCTTAAGAAGGTCACTATATTATTATCGAGTTTATATATTCTTAATATATCTACCAGATATTCATGCAGCACTGAGTCAAAGGCTTTCTTATAGTCAATAAAGTTTTTAGCATTTGATCTAAGTATTTTCGAGTGGAAGCAATTAGTTTCAAATCACCCATGTACAACATATGATTAAGCTTCGCCACTACAGTGTTGTTGTTTTTAATGCTAAAACATGAGTCAGTGGAGTTCAAAAGCTGGGAGAGTGGGTTCATCGCTAGACAGAACCACAAGGGACTCAGCGAGTCTCATTGAAATAGGCCGCGGTTAATTGCGATATTTTCCGTTTTGATATTGTTTCACCAGGTAATTGGAGGTGAATTTTAGTTTTCCAATCTATCATTATATGTCTTAAGTAGGTCACTATATTATTATTGAGTTTATATATTCTTAATATATCTACCAGCCATTCATGCAGCACTGAGTCAAAGGCTTTCTTATAGTCAATAAAGGCAGTGAAGAGGTTTCTTTTTTTGGTGTATGCCTGGTTAAAAATGATTGAGTCGATAATAAGTTGTTCTTTGCATACCATGGAACCCTTAGCGCATCCTTTCTGTTGAGGTTCTATGATATTGTTTAGAGCGCAGTGTTGGTAGATATGCTGTGCTACACAGGATGTGACCAATTTATACAGAGTTGAAAGACACGTAATTGGGCGGTACTTGGCTGGATCTTGGGTATTATTTTGATCCTTCGCTATTAAATAAGTTGTTCCCTGATTTAGGAATTATGGTATTTCCTGCGGATTAGAAATAACACGATAAATTAGTGTTGATAAGCACTCATGAGCACTCCAGAACTTCTTAAGCCAGAAGTTTTGAACTCCGTCTGGTTGGATGGTATTGTGTTTAGCCTCTGGGATAAGATTGTTTCTTATAATTACCCAGTATTGATCAGCAACTTGTTGTTCAGTTACTTTAATTTCTGGGTAGTCCCTGCAAAATTCGGCATAGAGACTTTGTCGATACCCGATCGTTCCTTGACCGAGGTTTGTCACCTGGTAATAGAAGCGCAAAATATTCTCATTTATGGACGCGCTCCATTTCATGCGCTGCCTCGGTCGTCCCGCTTGAGGGAGCGCTGGCTGATGTTCCAGCGCAGCACCTTCAGCGAGTGGAGCTCTTGTTGTTGTTTGGCTCGCTTGTGGTTGTTCTTGACATTGTTGCGCCTTAGCTGATTGTATGACAGGGGCCCGCCTCCTCAACACCCTGCCACCGACGTCCCGCATGCTGTCACGTCCAGCGCCGACTCCAGACCACAGATTATAAGACAAGAAGATGTCAACCTTAATGTTAAAAATTGCCGATACGATTTACAGCGCCCTCTACGGTAGAATTCTACACTAAATGCTAATATCTTTGTAACTTACCTTAACGAAGGCCAAAAAAAAGAAGACAGAAATCTGTTAATGATAAGCAGGAAATTCAAATTTATAATTGTGACGCGGGAAATTCAAAATTATTGTAGGAATTCTCTATAATTTAAAGGGACACTGTCAAGATACATTGTAAAAATAAAAATATATCCGTCTGAACGTTTCAATCTATCACATTTTTAACAATACAAGTGTGTTGGTCGTGTTTGAAGTTAAATTCGTTAAAAATTGTTTAGAAATGAAATAAACCGAAACGTTCGGATGCAAGGAATTTTATTTTTACCACCATCTTGAACAAGTCCTATTAAATTATAGGAATTAAAATTTAATGGTTATAAAACAAACCATTATTGCTGTAATTCATTTCACACATTTGCATAACATAATTTTAACAGTGAGTAAATAAATCATAAAAATTCTATTTGGCAAATGTGAAGTTCATAGTTCATATTATGACAGAAGAAAGATAGAATAAGGTTGAATCTCACTCAAGCTAGGAAAAAAATAAAAATGTTCTATATAGTACAAGTGTTTTATTTATGGTGGTGGTGTAGATATTAAAACATAAAATACAAATAACAATGTTCAAAGAAAAATGACAATTTTAACTATAGTAATACAAACGTGAAAATATCAAAATTTCCCGCTAAACTAGGGAGAATAGATGCTTTTTTTCTATTTTTTAGTTTGTTGGGTAAATTTTAACATTTTAAGAACGATTTCCGGTTTAGAAGTCGAAACGTCAGTGTAAAAAATGTAATTTTGATTACAATTATTGTGGCTTATGCCCATAAACACAATTTCTAGTGAAAATATCAAACATAACATTTATAAAATAAAATAAAACTTATGCTCAGTTTTCCAATTACGAGAATGACGCCAAATAACAATTATTATAAGTATTAGTTACACTTGCCAAGGCGAACACAAAATTACGAATGCAATGGAAAGCAGACTTTTGTTTGCAAAAAGGACACACTGTATAGTCTTTTTACATTCATTTTCACATACTATTTAATTTAACGCTTTTTATGTTTACAAAAATAATCATAACAATATAATTGTATTGCATCATCAACGTTTTCATTATATTTTTCTTTTCCCCATAAAATTTTATTACAAATATTAGTATAATTAAAAATTAAAACATTGCAAAATGTGTCCATAACAAGTAGTTTTAATTCTTCCAAATGATCACAATATTCAAAATTTGGAAATAGATCAAAAAGACCCAGCCAAAGTTTTAGATTTTGTTTTCAATTGTTTTGGGACAAATGTTGGCGTAGATACCACAGCACATAGTGGTGAACGTTGTGTAGAGTATTGATAAATTTCTCATTACATTTAAATAAAACACAACCTTCATACTCTTTTTCTGTAATTAGTTTGTGTTGTGGTAGATCTTCTCCCTCATGCATTACATTATGAAAGCAGACAGTACATGTATGGCACATTGGTATTAGTTTTTTAGCAATGTATCCACTTACATATGATAACGCATCAATATTAACATTTGATGTGATGTCTGGTGGGGGTAAAAGCACCCTTTCTTGGTCAGAAGATCTTGTTTCTTTATATGTCTTTATAAGAAGCTGCTTTAAACCTACAAGACCTCCATCACTTTCATCACATTCACAATTTGAACTATTTGCATGTTGCTTTGCAAATTGATTAACAAGCAAGCTTTTAAAATAGGGAACAAAAGTAGAACATGTAGGATTGGTGTTTCTAGCTCCGTACTGCCTTACTTGACCAAAGAAATTCTCAATAGGATCTTGATTAAAGCATCGTGTAGCAAATGCACGATAACCAAGATCCCTAAGAACCCCTCGGATCAAATGAAACCCTTTCAAAGTGAAAATAACATTTTGCAGTACGGGAGGTCTAGATTTATCAAATTCTGATTTTTTTAAAAATTCCATTGACTGCAAAACTTGTTGTGCCCTAGTCCAAAAAATTGCTTGTGGTGAAGAACCGCCTGTTCTGATAGGTAATCGGTACCTTTTTCCTGGATTAGCCATTCTAAAGGTACCATTTAGACTATCAAACAATTTGTCCAAAAACAAGCAGAGTTCAGCAGTATCTTTTCCCTCTATTCCCAAACTTTTGCCACCCGCAGCAATATTACTAGTTGAATAATGATTTATTCTTGCAGCAGTCCCTACACTAAAAACTTGCGTACACAATGAAATTTTCATTTTTTTAATGAAAGATTAAAAAAGTCTCCAAAAGATAAATCAATATTATAGGCATCTAAAATATGTGACCATTTAGCGGTTCGATTCACCCCATTTAACGAAAACTTTAGGTTTTTTGTAAGAAGATTATTCCTAATACATTTCATTAGGTGAGGTGGGTCTAATATTAAAATTACTTGTATGTCATCAAATTCCACAATATTTTCACAATCATATATCTTCCCAGCTCTTAACCTATTTGCCTGTAATTCCTCTTTTAACATTTTCAAGGCCCTGACATTATT